CATGGCTCCTTTCTGCTGTGTGGGAGGACACTCTGTGAGTCATTTACATTGGAGTGTGAATTAGCCCATCAAATTCAAAGGGACCCCAATGGTGCAGAGGCCCATAATAGCACCTGCTTCGTGGGCTGCAGGAGGCGTCGTGCTGCAGTGAAGGCCCTGGTGTGGTAGGCGGGTGGGGAGTATTGGTGCACCCTCTGTGTTACTGTCCCAGTGTTCCTGGAGCATGTGGCCCTGTGTAACTCTGTCCCTCTTTGAACACGTGCAGTTGGGGGTACCCACTGCACAGGGAGACCACTGAGCCATGTAGGTAGCTGGGAGGGAGGCTAGGCCCTGCTGCTCACTCTCCCTTACAGGGCTTTGCTGCTCTCCTGGGTACTGGATGAGGAGGGCAGCTGAGGCTGACTGCATGGCCCCCTGGTGTCTCTCAACTCCTTGGCTCCCACTGGCCTGGGCTATGCAGGAGGTACCTTGTGGGGGCTTCCTGATTGAAAGCAAGGCTGAAACCTCCCATAGGCCAGCTGAGGTTGCCTCTGAACCATCACATCTTGGACTAGGGGATGAGGCAGTGGGCCTGTCTGGGAGCAGAGGGTGAATGAAGTGAAGGTCTTCAACTAGGGTGAGGATTGTGACCACTGCTGGATGTAGAAAGGGCTATGGGTCACCAGGGATCAAGGTTCGAGTGTGGCCCAAGAAAAATAGGCGAGTCCAGTCATGGAGATTGAGGTCAGGCCCTGGAGGGTCCTTGGGAACGGTATGGCCTTTGACCTGTGTGAGAAAGGACTTGGGAGCTATGAGGAGGCCAGACACTGGCAGCAGGACCAAGGCTGGTGACTATAGCTGCTGGGAATAGTGGAGGGTCTGAGCAGGGTCCCTCAGAAGCTGAAAGTGGTCAGACTAGAGCACTGAGAAAAAGGGCTGTGGCTCACTGATGGTCAGCTGTGGCGTGGGAGTAAAGGAAGCATAAGGACTTGATTTTGGTGTGGCCAGTACAGGTTGGTGGTGCTGAAGAGGGGCCAGGCTGGCTCCTCTCCCCTTCTTGCCCATCTGTGCATTCCTGTTGAGCACCCGCTCCCTGGTGAGCATCGCAGCAGCTCTGTCTTCAGGAAGAGGTAGCAAAGCCAGGACAGGAAGTTATGCCTTGGGTTTGCTGGCCTAGACCTGGGAGTGGGGCACGTAGTAAGGTCCTCAGGGTCCAGCTTACCTGTGACCTGGAGAGCAGTGGGAAGTGTCTGGACTCATCCTGGGAGCCCTGTCTGACTTTGGGGAGGCACATCCTTGCTCTGGATCCCTGTTGAGGGGCCCATACCCCTCCTCAGGCAGGGTGGGGCTCCTGTTATGATCTGTCTTGGTCCTAGGAGGTGTCACTGCCCCCAGCTTCTCTTTCTCTGGACCCATTGCAGGGAAGCAGTGTGACTGACCCAGATTTCTCAGGTCTGGACTCAGGAGGGGGGGACCTGGCTCTGTGACCCAGATCTTCCAAGTTCTGTAGCTCAGACAAGAGGTGGCAAATGGTCTCCCACGTGTGGAAGCAGTGGTTGTGTGCATGAGGAGAGAATGACCTGTGTTGCAAGAATGGGAACAGGTGCCTCTGCAGTGGGAAAATTTCAGTCAGAATTAGACAAAAATGTCCAGATGTTTTGACTCAGGATCTGGATGTCAGAAGATACTCTCCAGCTGGGGGCTTCCAGCCTTTCTCAGGTGGGGATGTGTTTCAGATACACAGGAGGGTCCTCAGGCACCATCCTAACTAATAAAGATCAGTCTTCCACCGAGGTCCAGCATTGTCAGAAAGGCTTGCATAACTCCTGGGAAGCTGTCCTTGACTGGCTTCTCTTCATGGCTCAGATGGCCTGGAGGCAAGTCTCTTGTATCTGGATTCCTGGATGCCCTTGAGGGTCCCTGTGCTTAATCCTTGCAGCTGTTGCTCACCTAGTGGGAGGCAGGTGGACAAGAGCTAGAACTGAGCCCTTGCTATTATCTTGCTGTGTAGCCTTGGGCAACCACCTCTCAGAGCCTTGGTTTCTTTATTTATAATGCTGACTTGAGGGTTGTTGCAGAAAACAAATGACAAAATGCATAGGAAGCCTTAGCCCAGGATGGAGTAAAGGGAAGGGTGAGGAGAGGCCCTCATGGGATACGTGTTAGAAGGCTGAGGGTGCTCCTTGGGTGCAAGTTGATGAGCCTGTTGGAGGGGTGGAAGGCTGAGGCATCTACATGACTAGTCCTGCAGGGTCCATGTGGGTGCCAGTGCCCATACTCAGATGCCCCTGCACAATTTACAAGATAGCCAGCTCCTCTGCACCACACAGAGGCAGGCACTTTCTTAACCCTTGAATAACCCCTCAACAGGTTAGAAGCCCCTCACCCTCCATTGCCTCCGGAAGACTAATCAAGTAATTGATGCCACAGCAAGAGCTCCAGGGCCAGCCACCAGCTCCCAGGCTGGCCTCTCTCCCAAATGGTGGTGGCTGGCAGTGCCAGCTTGACACTCTACAGAGCCACTGTGGCTGAGAACCTGCCCGGCTGCTGATGCTAGCCAGTCTGGCTACCCTCACCCCAGCCTGTGGGGTGCTGTCCCCTTCAGATCCCTCCCAGTAACACCCAGGCAGGTTAGATGGCTGAATCTCAGAGTGAGGGTGCGTATGCCTGGCTTGAGCATTTCAAAACAGAAATTTGAACCCAGCACCAAGCGCAATGAACCAGTGTGCAGGACTTTCCTGGAACTCAGGCACTTTGGAGTCTTCTGGTCAGGCTGAGCTGGCCATTTGTATCTGATCTGAGGCCTATGGGCACTGGACTTCCACCATGGCACCTCGGGCACAAGGGAGGGTTGTAATCAGCCAAGGCTTGGAGGCTGCTGCCCTGCAGGGGAAGGAAGATAAAGGGAGAGGGTGAAAGGGTCATGCCTGGCACATCTGAGTGTCACCTTATAAAACCTATGAGGAGTGTGACATCAGTCAGATTCCAGGAATTTCCAGGGATAACCCACTCTTCCTCCCTGTTCTATAGTACTTCCAGATCTGCCTATCCTTTGATCAGCAGGACCTGCACATTCACAGGGGCACAGTGAAGGGGTCTCTGCCTTGAGGGTTTGACTTCAGGGCATCTTGTGCTAGGGACAAAGGGCACAAGCTCAGGCAGGCCTCCATCGCAGTGCATGGAGTCTGGGGGGACTTGTCAGGGGGGCTCAGTGTCTGGGATGCCCTTGGGGTTTGTGAGGTTTGAGACAGAGTGAGTCCAGAAGGCTCAGACAGAGGCATCCCTGAGAGCTCAGCCTGCACTCCTAGAGTATTCTTTCTCTGGGAAGTGAGGCCTTTGAGGGACTCTAGGCTCCAAGCCCTGCCTTGGCCTGGCATTGCATTTTAGGGTAAGCAGATAGGCTAAAAGAGGAGGGGTGCTCCTGGAGTCACAGAGTCCAAACCAACCCTACAGCACCCAAGTTCTGGCCCTCTTCCTGGTCCTGCCTTGCCTGGGATGTAGGGTCATGGTGCTGCTTTCTGGAGCAAGTCCTTCTAAGGAGGCAGGGGAATCTTAGTGAAAAGCAGATACTAATCCCCCACACCCCACCTGCCTGCCCAGAGCAGATCCTTTCTCCATGGGCCAAAATCACAGCACAACCTGCTGATGCTGACCTGGGCTGCCAAGAACAGAGTGGAGAAAGCTACCCACAGCCAAGGAAATCTGTTGGGTGTTCTTAGGCACTAGCATGCACTCTAGCCCCTGCCCCACCTCCCCTTTTAGGAGGAAGGTGAAGCCAGGGGGTCTAGGTAGCTTCCCAAGGTCATGCAGCTAGGCTGCGGCTAAGGTATGTCTGGAATCAGGTGTCTGATCAGAGGAGCCTCTCGGAGGTTGAGTGGGGGACAGGGAGAGTGCTAGATAGATTGCTGGTGCACACTGTAACTGCAAGGTTCCTTACATTTCAAATTCTAATTGGTACAGTGAGGTGAGCAGAAGGGGCACCTGTGATCTGTCCTGTGTGGCTGGTTTGGGTGGAAAGCATAGCTTGAGGACTCTGAGGCCAGCTGTGTAAGATTCACAGTGCAGAGGAGACCCTGGGTTCATGTCCTGCAGGCCTGGGGCAGGTGCTGGGTCCCACTGCCTTAGGGAGAAGTGAGGGCTTGCTGGCCTTTTGACCACCACTCCCAGCTGTGGTTCCTGCAGGGCAGGTCCCCAGGATGCACCTCTCCATCTCCACCTGGTGGGCCCCTGAGGGTCAAATAGAATTGCTCAGAGAGGCCCTCCTTGGGCACTGTCTGCAGGAGCCACAGTCACGGGAGAGTACAGGCAAACTCTGGATAAGGCTGCCAGGAATCTGGGGGATGAGGCGCAGTGGCAAGGCAGCAGAGGAGGAGTGATTTGCCAGCCGCTCAGTTCCTGGTGCATCAAGAAGCAGCAAGTCCTTTTGCTGAAATGGGAACGGGCCAGTGTCAGACAGCAGGGGGGGCCTGGGTCAGGTCTCAGAGACAAGTTTCCGGCTGGCCTCGGGCCGCCTCCCTGCGGGGAGGGCTATGTCTGTCCTCTAGAGGAGCGTCAGACAACGGGGGCCGACAGCCGGGTGTGGGGGGGAGGCGGATGCAGAGGGGGGATGGAGCAGTCCCAAGGTCACCAGCTCCAGCGGTCGCCCTGGGCAATGGGGCTGGGCGTTCCGCAGTGGTCCCTCGCCGGCCCACAGGTCCGCAGCACCCCAGCGCTGCACGTGCGCTCCGCGCCCTTGCGGTCGCCCCCTCTCAACGGGTCGCCCCTCCCGCAGGCGGGGCGTCCGGGCGCGGGGCCAACCCCGCCCTCCACTCTGCGCCCGCGCCCCGCGCTCCCGCGGGTTGCTCTCCGCGGCTCGGGCGCGCGGCAGGGACGGCGGGCGGGCGGCCATGGGCGCCTGGGCAGCGGGGCCTGGCGGCGGCGGGGCGCGCGCGGCTGCCTGCTCAGGGGCGGGCGGCGCTCGGGGCCCCCGCGGGCCGCCGCCGCTGACGCTGCCTGTTTCCCCCGTGTCCCGCCGCCCCCAGACCCTCCTCCTCCTCCGCCCCCCCGCAGCTTGGGCCGTGGTCGTGGCGCGGCTGCCGCACGGTGCCCCTCGACGCCCTCCGGACGCGCTGCCTGTGTGACCGGCTCTCCACCTTCGCCATCTTAGCGCAGCTCAGCGCTGACGCGGTGAGACCCCGGTGGGGATGGTGGGAGTGGGGTGGGGAGGGAGCGACAGTGCACGGGAACAGCTGTGGGGGGAGGCTGCCTACTTTTCTGGTGCTTGGGGGTCTCTGCCTGGCAGCTGCCCATTTTCCCTGGAGAGCATGAATGCGAGCCCCCGGCCTGGGCAGTATGGAGTTGAAGATCCCTGGGAAGTGCCTGCCTGATGGTGCATCCCTTGTCCACTTAGTGTTGACGGGGACCTTGAAGAGAGCTGCCCCTGGGAGCCGGGGATACCTGGTCCTGAACTCTGGATGGGGGAAGCCAGGCCTGTGCATACCCTGTCTCTTGGTCCCCTGACCTGCCAAGGACTGGGACCAGAAGCTGCCACCTTCTGTGAGCCCTTTGGGACCCACTGTTAAGTGGAGGCTTGTCTATGGAGGCGACTGTGTCCCCAAGGCTGCTGGGCCTGGCTCTAATCCCCAGGCAGCCCCCAGTCTCAGGGGCCTCCTTTTTGTTTCTGGGATTCTTGTGGGGGCTGACAGTTTCCATGGTAACAGGATGTGGGGCCAGCCTGCTGGCAGGGCTCTGGGTGCTAGTCCCAGCCCAGGGCCACCAAGCCTCCTCACCAGCCCCAGGAAGGCCCAGGCTATACAGGGTCACCTGGCAGGCAAGCCCTTAGCAGCAAGCTACAGGAGACAAGAATAGGGACCTGTGTTGCGGAGAGGAGGGACAGTCCAGACTGTATGTGGAAAGGCCCCATCCTTAGCATGGAGAGCAGGCGGAGAAGGGGATGTGGCTTCCCTGGATGTTGAGGATAGATAGCCTGCCTGGTAGAAGCAGGTTCCATGGGGAAAACAGTGCCAGGCCTCAAAAACATCCCACTATCCCTTTGTTCTTTAGAAACTGGGTAAAATGGACAATGGACAGTGCTATCTGTTGGGGTCTGCATAGGATCGGGCAGGATGGGATCTGATAGATCATTGCCATTGGTGGTATCCTTTGTTGACAGGTGAGGAAACTAAGCTCTGGGGAGGAGAGGACATGGGGTACATCTGGATTAGAACAGAGGTCTTTGCCCTTGGCCCTGACCCCAATATGCCCACCCTCCTGTCAGGCAGCCCTGTAGGCAAGACCTCAGTTGTTGCTGATTCTGTGGACAGGACCTAGGTGATAGCCAGGTAGCACCTCCCTGGAAGAAGTGGCGTGTTGCTAGATGGCTGCTGACAGGAAAGCATCAGGCTTTCCCTTGCACGGCTTTCCTGGAGCCCTACAGGACTGGCCTGGGCAGCCCCAGGCCCCGCCATGATCACCATGACTACTATTCTGAGGGGTGTGGGGACCAAGTAGGAAGGGTGGGTGGCCATCCCATTCCCTTTTCCCAGCCCAGGTTGCACCATGGGAGGCCGGCATTAGGGTCTGGAAATGTAGGCTTGCCTTTGCATCCTGTGGCCCTGGGCTATGCGTCTGAGTCTCGATTTCCCCATGTAAAATGAGAGGGGTTTTTGTGCCCAGAACTGGATGTGAGAACACTATGGGTGAGGGCAGAACCCTGAGCATGGTAGTGGCGGAGTGTGATGCTCAGGAGCCAGGGCCTGTTGGGAATGAGCCCACATGGCTACCAAAGGGCGTGGGGAGTTTCTAGCATCAAAGCAAGGAATCATAAAGGAAAAGCACCAGCAGGGGCATATTGGTCACCATCTCTTCATATCTCAGACAGAGCAGCTGAAGTTAAGGGTGCATCAGCTGGCACAGAGACATGCACTAGGCTTGGGACCAAGACTCAGTTTCCTTATCTGTAAGATGAGATAGTGGTTGGCTCTGCTGTACTCTGTGACTTTCTTGCACCAGACTGTGTTTGGCTCCATTTGGGCTCCCAGTGCGAAACACCAGAGGCCCTCACCTCTTTACTCGGACCATTTCTGGCCTGACATTGCTGAGTGGTCAGCTGACGGGGCCAGGATCAGTGCAGATCGCAGACAGGCACTCAGACAGACCTGAGGCATCACAGCTGGTGGAGGGAGGGCTAGGTTCAACCCTGGAGTACATCAGCTTCCTTGCCCCTCAGTTCCCCATGATGAGGCTTGGAGAGTGGTCATACTGGGTACACAGGAGTTCACCAGCTGAGCTTTGTGAGGAGGAGTGATGGCCATCCCAGGAAGAGTGGAAAGGCAGGCGACTGTCAACAGTGTGGGAGACAGGTGTGGTTCTAGGAGGTAGAGAGGCAGAGATGTGAGCATTTCTGGCAAGGCCAGGGATGGGGTAAGGTAGAGGGGACTTGAAGAGGAGGAATTGGGGGGGTGTTGCTGGGGTCCTGGTGCGCCAGGGATCCTGGCAGGAATGAAGGAAGAACAGCCAGCCAGTAGGTGTGGGGGGTGGCCAGGGATGAACTGATAAGTATCTGTGAAGAGACTGTGCTCCCCACCTTAGCTGGCGGTGGTAAACTGCATGCACATGGGGAGTTGGGACTGAGTGGGCACAGGCTGTGGCCTCAAGGGATGGCTGCTCAAACAAGGGCCTGGCATGATGGAGAGATGGGGTGCCAGGGGATGGCCCTTAAGCTGGAGTGAGTGAACGCTGGCTGGAGAGTGAAGCCAGGAGCCCTCAGCTGGGCCTGCAGCCAGGGTGTGGGTGTAGATGCACTGTGCCACCTCGGGCCATGGCTGCCGGAAGGTTGAGTAACTTCTCTGAGTCACACCTGTGAGTGGGATGAGGCCACCTGTCCCGGAGCTGTGGTGGGATTGTACAGGGTGATGTATTTATGGCGCTTGACACAGCCTAGCATATAGTAAACAGTCTGCAGAACACAGGTCTTGGTGTTAGTTCTATAATGAACACAGACTGCTTGCAGGTTGTAGGCAGAATCGAGGTTCTGTGTGCAGCTGGGATTGGGCTCAGGATGTGATCAGATTAGGTTGACATATGACCAAAACCAGCCCAAGATCAAGACACAGTGTGACCTGCATCAGGGCTCAGAATGTGACTGAGCCCAAGGCTCAGCTTGTGACTTAGGACAGGAGTTAGCTTGTAGCTTGACTCAGTGGTCAAGGTGCAACCTGGTGAGGAGCCCGGACTGTGACAGAGTTCAGGACATAGTCTACTGCTGGAGTTGGGTTACTTTTGTGGTACTGGGTGGAGTTGGATGAGTGATAGGGAAAGGTGGACACTGGGAATGGAAGTCAGTCCCTAGAGACATAAGGTGTATAGAGGACTTGGGAGAAAATTGGGAGTAGGAAGTTCATGTGGTGGGAACAGACAGAAACTATGTAAACAAGAAAAGCTGTTAGTGGGGTGAGGGGCTCAGGACACTGGAGAGGCAAGTGATAGTATTTTTGTCCATGCAGAGCAACAAGAGCTGGCTCAGGAGGGCTTCTGTGAGAAATGGGAGAAAGACCAGCCACAGAAGGTCAGGAAAGCACATGGGCACAAGAGCAACCTGTGCAAAGGCCCTGGGGCTGTAGTGAGCTTGGCATGGAAGCTGGTGTCCAACAGGTGACCAGCCTGATTCTGCCTCCTCTCTGGAAGTTGGGACCAGTCTCCTACCCTTGAGGTTTTTGGTCCAGTCTTCCTGATGAGCACCCTGAACCTCCAGGTTCTGCCTGTCCCCTTCTGTCAGAAGGAACCATGAGCCAGGTGGAGAGGAGCAAAGGGCAGGCAGGCAGGCAGGCAGGTGGGTGGGCTGGTAGCTGCCAGGTCTAATGAGGGCAGACGAGGCAGATGGCCACAGAAGTCAGGACTAGAGTCAGCCATGGCACAGGTACAAATCATTTGACCTGCTCAGGGTCTTGGAACATTTGTTGGGGCCACCCTCCCCATACATAGCCCTGTTAACCTGATCTCCCATAGTCACAATACAATGGAACTCTGATCCCAGAGGACTTTGAGTGGAAGTAGGGTCTGAGCACAGCCCCTCTGGGGATTCAGAGCTGTCCTTCTCAGCCTCACAGCCCTGGTGGAGACAGCTGAAGTGGAAGACACCACCTGGCCTGAGTCTGGGGTCATTAGAGAATCACCCTGGAGGATAGCAGCACCTTTGCTCCGGAAGGAGTAAGCCTTATTCCAAAGGAGGCACAGTTGTAGCAAAGGTGCTGAGCACACTCCAAGAATCCAGTGTGGTGCAGGCCCAGGAGGTAGTGCTTGTGCCCTTTGTGTGTCTGTGCTTCTGTGAGATGTCAGGTGTGTGGTCCATGTCATCGGAGGTTGGAGCCCCAGGCCAGCCACCTCTCAGAGCAGCAAAGACACAGCTCAGAGCAAATAAAAAGCAGATTCAGTCTGTCTAGGTCAGCATTCGGTCAGGGTGTGGTGACTAAAGCCTGAGGCTTTGCAGAGTAGTGGGCGGCAGGTGCTGAGGTGCTGAGTCTGAGGTTGAAGGAACACTTCAGGCAGGGTGTGTCTGTGTGGCAGGAGGGCTAACTTCGAGTGCATGGGGCTCTGCCATGTCCAAAAGACTTACTGCTGAGCATGGCCCACCTGGGTGTCCCCACCTAAGACATGGGAGTGAAGCAGCTCCCAGGGAATCAGGGCTTGGGACAGGTGAGCACCAAGGCTCCTTAACAAGTTCCAAGATGGATGCTGAGGCTCCGCAGCAAGTTCTGAGGTGTCCTGGTGCCAGAGGTAAAACTCTTGGCCACAGCTCCCCTCCTAGAATCCTCAGCTCTGCAGATGTAGGTTTGTGCATGTCAGGCTTTTGTTGCACTGTTGTTCCATCCTGTGCTTAGAAGCCTGGGTGGCCTTGGACAACTCTCTATTCCCCCAGGTCATGCCTCTCACATCTTTACTCACCACTAAGCACACTAAGCTGGACCTGTGGAATGATAGCAGTCATAGGCTTAGTCACGGTGACACCCAGCAGGGCCAGGGAAAAAGAGTCTTTCCAGGAGGAGGTGCTGCTTACCATGTGGGGAAGAAAAGCGCTGGGTCGAGGAACAGGATGTGAGCAGGTGGAGGTCACAGCACAATTTCGGACAGAAGAGACAAGAAGAGTGGGTAGAGTGTGGAGGTGCTTTGGGGACCTGAGAAGGCTAAAAGCCCCATTCAGGGAAAGAAGGCCTCAGGGCCTGTGGCTGGGAGTCACATTCTGCAGTGTGACAGGCGTACACAGGGCTCTGAGAGCTACTCCATGGGTCTAGAACAGTCCTGCTTTTGGGCTGAGGACCCATAGGAAATCTGTCCTGTCTAGGCCTGCCTTCCTGTCTAGCTCCTGAGTCACATCCTCATTTTCTGAGAGCCGGTGGCAGAAGGCTGGAAAGGGGACCACAGAGCTTTCTGTGATTCCTTTTGCGGTGCTTGGTGTGGACAGTAGCTCTGCCATTGATGAAGACAAACACACCCCTGGACTGCCTGGCTGCTTAGGGTTGTGCTTTGCACATGGTAGGGAGGTGGTGTGGGTGGGCTCACGTAGGATGAAGTGAGCTGTGATCCAGCTGACCAAGACACCAGCCACATGAAGGGAAGTGTGCCAGGCAGAGGGCATCGCTGGTGCAGTGGCCTTGTGGTGGGAACAAGCAGCCACTTAGTGGCCTTTGCAGGGAGGCAGAAATGACTGTGAGCTAAGCAGTGAGGATACAGCTGAGATAAGGAAAGAAATGGGAGTCATCTGCTGGAGGGAGGTGTAGATCTTAAGTGGGATATGAGAGGAACATCAGGCAGGGAAGAGGAGTAGGGGCAAGAGTTGGATGCCCAGTGATGTGAGCTACAGCTGTGGAGATAGGAGCTCAGGTGTGTCTCCCCACCCTCAGAATGTCTCCCCCCGGCATGTCCTCCCACCCCTAGGGCTTCAGGGTCAGAGGCTAAGAGCTGTCCTAGGGACCAGGCTGGGCCTCAGCCTCTTTGACTGTGCTATGATGTGGATGTGCCTCCCTGGGTTGGAGGTCCATGACATGATGGGGCAGAGGGCTTATTTCTGGGCTTGGCAAATGGTAGGCAGAGCACTCAGCAAGGTGCATGAGTTCTCTGCAGGGAGAATCCAGCAGAGAAAGTCCTGATGCCGCTGGAGTCTAGGGGCAGCAGCCTTCTCCCTGGAGCTGTCAGGGACAGACTGGAGCCCTGGGGCTTCACCAAGTAACCTTGGTGACTGCCTGGCTCTCCACTGACCAGTGCATCACTTCTCATTTGTGTGATCTCTGTGGCATCACAGACAATGGAGAAGGCGACTGTGCCATCTGTGACGCTCATCGTGGGCTGTGGCGTGTCCTCACTCACCCTACTCATGCTGGTCATCATCTATGTGTCTGTGTGGAGGTGAGTGCTGGGCTGGGGAGTTCAGGGCTCCATTCCTTCTCACTTTCTCAGCTTTCCAGTCACCTGCAGCGACCATGCACGCACCAACCCAGTCCTACATCCCACTCCACCAGTTGTACAGTTCAGTGTCACTGAGGTTAGGGGGCATAGAAATAAGACAGGGCAGAGAGTGGGCCACCCCATCTCCACCTGAGTCCACCTGCATGAGTTCTAGTTTCTTTTGCCCTTAGTACCTTACTTCACTGGACATACATCCTAGCTGGGCACACTAAGCACCTTTGCCCACTGGCAGTGCCTGTGGCCACCCATTGTCCTTGTGTGTCCTCAGGCCTGCACCTGCAAAGACAGTACTCCCTTGTCCTAGTTCAGGCTCAGAGTCTATAGCCTCTGCTCACCTCAGCCCAGTGCTCTTCCCAAAAGGCCACAGGGGCTGGGTCCAGGACCCCCTGCCCATTACAGAGCCTGTCTGCCCTGTGTATGGTTTGTGGGCCCTGCTGGGGCTGGGGAGGAGAAAGGGAGATGGGTGTCATGAGATTTCTGTCTAACCCAGTGAGGAGCCCATTAAAATGGCAGGGGTAGGTCTTAGTCAACATCAGACCAGGTGGTCAAGAATGTATTGTGACCATGTGTCCTCACCTGGAGTGTGTGTGACTGCAGGCATATGCCCACTGGGCAGGCCTGCCTCCCTATCCCTCTGTGTCCAGCCCATTGAGTAGCTTGGAGCAAAGAGGGTAAACTCAAGGTCACTGCTTCACGGCTGAGCTAAGATTTCCAGTGTAGCCAGAGCTATGCAGCCCATGCGCCTGGCCACCCTAGATCTGGGGGCAGTGCAATGTCAGCCAATAATTGGAACTGATGGCTGTCTGCTGCCTGAGGGGTCGATGCAGTTGGTGGGGGAGGGGCAACCCGGGCTCTCTTGATGACTGAGTGGCTATTAAAGCAGGTGCCCTCCATTGTCCTGCCCAAGGGCAAAACATCCAGTGCTCCCCTGACTGGGATTTGTGGGGGATTATGATTGCTTTCTCCCACACCCATCAGCTCCTACATAGACACTAGGTAGCCTAAAACATGGGGGCCACAGGCTCTGAACTCTGGATTGGACCTGCCGAGGCTTTGCACTGAATAGTTTTCAAAGCACGTCTCCCAGCCAGTGCCACCATACACTGCTACAGGGCAGCTACAGGTAGGGACTGTTCTCATGTGCCCTGCGAGGAAATGGGGACCCCTGCCCATTCAGAGAATCTGAAATGCCTAATAAGGTCATGCATCAGATCAAAGACATATCAGGGTTCCCCAAGGCTTACCCTTGCATCTTCTGCTCTCTACTTGGGTGGCTCTCACTGTTCAAGGGATATTAGTGGTGATGTGTTTGATGCTGATGATAGTGACTTGGTGGTGATGGTCATAATGATGACGGTGAGAATAGCTGTGGTAGTGTGATGATGGTGGTGATGATAGAGGTGATCGTTATAGTGGTGGTGATGGTGATGGATATGATGCTGATGTTGGTAGTGGTAGCAACTCATCTCAGGCCTGACTGCTCCTGCAGGTATATCCGCTCAGAACGGTCTGTCATCCTCATCAACTTCTGCCTGTCCATCATCTCCTCCAATGCCCTCATTCTCATTGGGCAGACCCAGACCCGCAACAAGGTAGGTGCCTTCTGCCATGCCGTGCATGTCCCAGTGTCTTTGCGTGTGGTCATGGTGGTCTCTCAGCATAGGTCCCACCCCAGCCAGCCTTGAGTCTGATGGCACATTGGGGGCACCCCTTGACCTGTCCTCCCCAAGTACCCCAATTCTGCTCCCCATCCCATCTCTTCATGTCCTATCCTGCTAAACACAAAAGGCCCAGGCCTTGGGTCCCAAGCTTACTTGGGACTGTCATGGATAGGGGCCAGGAATTTCAGTGAGACAGTGTAGGCCTGGCACCAGAACACTCCAGTGTCCTATGACAGAAGCTTATGGCCACAGCAGACTTATCCATGACTTGCTGTGGGCCCTTGGGCTGTGAAATGCCCTCTGTCAGCCTTAGGTTCACCATCTGCTGGACAGATAACTGGAACTGATGCTTCCAGGAACCCCTAGGCTAGGATCTGGTGGCAATTGGAGAGGGAGGTCTATTCCTGACAATTTGTGGGCAGGGTCACACAGCACCCACCTTGGGAGGGTTACACTTGAGTGCCCATTATAGGGCAGGGACCAAGTCACCCATTGATTGCTTCTGCCTTTGCACTTGGCTGGGTGCCAGCTGAAAGTGCTGTGCTGGGCCTCTCCTGGTCTTGGCGGGCACTCACTGGAGTCAGCAGGAGGCTGGGGACATTTGCCCAGTCCCCTGGCTGCCTGCCCACAGGTGGTGTGCACGCTGGTGGCAGCCTTCCTGCACTTCTTCTTCCTGTCCTCCTTCTGCTGGGTGCTCACCGAGGCCTGGCAGTCCTATATGGCTGTGACTGGCCACCTCCGGAACCGGCTCATCCGAAAGCGCTTCGTCTGCCTCGGGTGGGGTGAGTGTGTGGTGCCACGGGCAGGCAGGCAGGCGGGCTGTGTTCTGAGCCCCTAGCCACCCTCCTGCTGCTGTTCCCTACACCGCAGCCCCTCCCTTGCCATCCTGGGGAAGAGACCCCGGGGGGCTTCTCTGTTCCGAGCCGTTTGTCCCTTTCCAGGGTAGCCAGGGAAACAGCTTGGCCAATTTGACTTTTAAATAAGGAATAATTTTTAGTGCAAGGCTATTTCAAGCAATATTTGGGACATACTTATACTGAGAAATGATTCTTGCTTTATCTGAGTTTTAGTATAACTAGGGCCTGCATTTTATTTGCTAACCTGGTAGTCTTGTTTCTGTTCTGTAGGCCCTCATATGTGGCCACATCCTGTCCACCTCTCAAGTGCTCAGTGTCACGCTGCAGCTGAGCTTCGGGCTCATTTCTCCCTTCCACCACAGGCAGGGCTTGGAGACGAGGGGAATGGGAGCCAGGGGTAAAGCTGACACTCAGGAATGGTGGTGGGGCTAAAACCTACTCTTCCGCTTCTCTTCCAGGGCTTCCTGCGCTGGTTGTGGCCATTTCTGTGGGATTCACCAAGGCCAAAGGGTATAGCACCATGAACTAGTGAGTTGAGTCAGGGATTCTAATGATTCCTGCGCAAATGTCTGATGACAGCTGGGTAGGCAGGAGGTCTGTCACTGGAAGTTTGTGACCAAGGCTTTCTGCAGTCCTAGAAAGTGATGGCAACCGTGTCCTATATCCTGGGTGGCTGTGTTCCTTGGCAGCCTCCGGGAGGCTGGGAGGGTGGCCCTGGGAGGGTGGCCCCTGAAGCTAGATCTCCTGGCCAGCCGATCAAGTAAGCATGGAGAGAATGGGCTAGAGCACCAGAGCCTCCCATTTCCCCATTGGGTGGCCTGAATGGGCTGTTAGCCACTGAGATTTAGGGCCCTCATCTGCAGAGCACTGGTGGGGAGGCTTGGCACCTCAGAGTAGAGCAGGAGCACCCCTACATGTGCCCTTAGGCAGAGCAATGCTGGTGTCTTTTATCAGGTGAGGTCCAGGACCCCACTAGACATTTGAGCCATGTCCTGGGGCCTCAAATGCTGAACCATGACACTTGGACATTCCTAGTGTGAGCTCCCTGAGGGGGGTGAGAAGGCTCAGGATGGGAGAGGGGAGGAGACAGGGACAGACTTGTGGTGGAGCTGCTGGATTGGGGAGTGAGGAGCAAGTGGGGAAAGCAGCTGATGCCACCTGGGTGGGGAGCCAGAGCAGGTGTGACTCTCTGTGGTGTGTGGTGGGGACTGGGCCCAGATAAGGATACGCAGAGCCAGTCAGGGTGAAGTCTAGAGTGGAAATGTGGGCAGTCCCTAGAAATGAGAAGAGGGGACGTCTGGTCTGCCAGAGTCCTAATGTGATGAGGCCACCGAGGTAATTCAGAAGGGTGAAGAAGAATGTGTTTAACAGAAAATGCAAGTGCTGTGGGTGGAGTCCAGAGAGTGGGAATATGCACCAGGGAGGAGGTTATAGGGGGAGGAGAGACAGGCCCATGCTGTGGCATCCCCAGTGGCATATGCCCGTTTCCATCGATAGCTAGGGGTGATGACAGAGGCCTGGGGGCTCTGGGTGTTGCAAAGCCAAGAGTGACTACCTTGAATGCAGCAAGTGCTTAATAAGTGCTGCCACTCCCGCTGCCTCCCAGCTGTGTCTTGCTCTGTCTGAGAAGCCGGCAGCACCATCCCTATTGTTGGCATATGGTAGCTGTGGGCAAGTGCTAACCAGTCTCCATCTTCCCTAGCTGCTGGCTCTCACTGGAGGGGGGACTGCTGTATGCCTTCGTGGGACCAGCTGCTGCCGTTGTGCTGGTACTGATCTTGGCCTGCTCCCTTTGTCTCAGACTGAGCCTGACCTCAGTTTCCTCTCCATGCCCCTGTGCTGGGCTGGTCACCAGGGGTGGATGAACCCCTCAGCCATGCTCTGACCTACCCTTGGTGTTATGGGTGCAGAAATGAGGCACCTCCATTTGTCCCTGTGAACATAGCCTGCCTGATTATTAGGTACCAGCTATACACCTACCAACATGTCTATACAGGTTTGGTGAGTGACACGATAATGGGGACAAATTAGGAGGATAACTAAAAATAACTAAGACCATGTGTCTGCCTGCACAGCTGTCAGCACCCAGCTCCGTGGTCTAGGCCTTCTTGTCTTGGTGGGTACCAGTAAGACTTTGGCTTTTTAGGGTCCTGGAGTTTTTCTGTCCATTTGTTTGCTGCCAAATGTGTTGCCAGAGACTTTTGTCTCCAGTTACAGATGGTCTGGGGTCTGTGCTGTGCCCAGCTCTGAGCCAGCTCCCATCCTCTGCCTCCTGGGGCTGGTGTGACTGGAGCACTGGGAATCTAGGCCTCCCAGAAGTAGTGACAGTGTCTTCACCCTTGTGTCCCTTTCTGGCCACATTCAGGCCCTGGGCACCTAGGCTGCCCCATAGGGAATGAGCCACGGAGCTGGGGAAGGGGGATAGGATAGGAGCCTGCATCCATCAGGGATCCCAAACTCTCCCCACCACTCTGGCCTCTTGACCCTGCTTTTTTTGTTACTCAAGGGCCCCTAGGCAGGAGAGACTGAGTGTGTAGCACCTGTCACTCTCTCCCAGACAACTCAAGAGCCAGAAGAGCCAGGGGCTATCCAATGCCAGGTGTCTGGGGAGTTGGGGCAAGGGACTAATGCAGCAGGAGTCCCGTCCTCACTGATGCTAACTACTGTGGGACTTCATGCCCCACCACTTGTGATTGGGCTGCAGATAGATAGTTAGGGCAGGGCCCATCCACCCTTTTCAGTCTTGGCCATATTAGTCAGCAAGGCTGCGCAGGGGAGACCTGTTGCCAAAGGCCCACTGAGTGGTGATGTTTGCTGGGAACTCTCCATTCACCGAACCCCTGTTAGTGCAACCCTCGGTTTGTAGAGCCATGGGAACAGTGTTAACCAGCGGGGACCTGTAGACATAGGGAGCCTGACACAAGAATTCACATGGTCCCAGGTCTCTACCTCAAGCTTAGACACATGGCTTTGTGTCCAGGCCATGGACCTCAGTCCCTTTCTGCTGAGTGGGACTCTTAAAGTAGGAGTGTGGAGTGCAATATGGGCTAGAATGCGTCCCTGTCACCAGGAAAGGTCCCCATCTCAGGGGGCTAAGGTTATGGTGCTCTTGCAGGGCACTCTGCGAACACCCCTTATCTTGGGCAGCAGCATGGGAGATATGTGAGACCCAGGAGTGCCTGGAGTGCTGAGTGGCCTGCAGAGGCCACAAATGGGGTTTGAGGGTCCATGTGCTGGTAGAGGATTGGAAAAGAGGAATCCTTCACATAAACTGGTGAAGGGATCCCTAGTCATGGGGATGGTGAGTCCCTGGAGATATGGAAAGGACCAGTGCTATGAAGGGAAGTGGGGCAGGGATACAGAGAAGAGTGGGTTCCTCTTGGATGCAGCTTGGTCTAATCCCCCACGTGGCTGGCACTGATCTGTGTGGTAGGGGCACCACTATAAAACTGGGTGGGCTGTGGGCTGCTGTGGGTGTGGCCACTCACCCACACTGCCTCTCTTACCCACAGGTGAACATGGTAATTGGGATCCTGGTGTTTAACAAGCTGGTGTCCAAAGATGGCATCACGGACAAGAAGCTGAAGGAGCGGGCAGGGTAGGCCAGGCTGCATGGCACCTTACTTACTCCTTAGATGGAGATACCCCATCACCCAGTCTTACTGTGCAAAGATGGGAACCCTGGAACAGGTGGGCAAACAGAGGCACAGAGTACAAATGCCTGCTCAGGCTACAGCTGGCCCTGTCTTGCTCTGTGCTTCGGTTTCTCTGCATCTGACCTGTTACAGGCTGGGGCCCTGTGAAGTCTTTAGGAACAGTGAAGCTACTATTTCTGCCCCAACAGAAACCTCTCCTCTAATGGGCCTTGGGTGGTGGGAGTGTACCCTAAGCTCCACAGCTGAGAGCCAGTTCCCAGGGGTCCCCACGTTTGCCATGTGACCTGAAGAAAGACCTTGCCTTTCTGGGCAACTGACTGTTCATCCTGTGGGGTCTTTGTCAGGGGGACAGTCTCAGGGACAGTGGGGAATGTTGCTCCCAGAAGCTCAGCTCCAGGGGTGGGTACTGCCTTCGGCCTCAGGCATAGGCTGGTTTTGTGGACACTGGGCAGGGCCCAGCCCTGTTCAATGAGCTCTCCCTGCCACCTGCTGCTGCTGTCTGCCCTGCCGGCTGGCAGGTGCCTGTGTGGGGTCCACCCCGCCCTCCCCTCTGTGCCAGTCTTGCTGTGTCTCTCTTCCTCTCTGTCTCTCTCTTCCTGGCTCCTCCTACTCTCCCCAGTGAAAGGCCCAAGAAAGCCTTCCCAGAAGAGAAAGCTGTGTGGCTGACTGGCCTGGCCCCCAACTCCCTGGCCTCAACTCTGGCCTGTGAGGCCTTGTCTGCCCCACCTCCTACACTGGGCAGTCACACACCAGAGAGGGCCAGGGCTTTCTTGTAGGTTTGGGCATCAGATGTTGTTACACGCTGACTCCAGCAGCTGACTCCTAGAAGCAGGCATGGGTCCAGTGCTCTTCCCAAGGCCTGTTTGGTTTGCATTTAGAATAAAGATCAAAGCCTGTTATGGTGGCACATGCCTGTCATTCAGATAACACTCTGGGAGGCTGAAGGAGAAGGATCACAAGCTCAAGCTCAGTCTGGGTAACTTAGTGACTTAGCAAGACTCTGTCCCAAACAAAAAATAAAAAACAAAGAATAATCATTGAAACAGGCTATTTTCATGTTTGCATCGTGCAGAGGAATAAACTGAGGCTTAAGGAGGCTGAGTAGCCAGTGCAGTTGGAATTGGAGCACAGCCATGAGCATTCTAGGCAGATACCTGGCCTGTCCTCATGTAGACAGGGAGGCCCATGTACACATGCATGGAAACACCCACGTGACCCTGCAGGAAGCCACAGCCCAGTTCCTCAACCCTATTTCTACAATCACAGTGCTGGTGAGTGTGTAGTTATACCCACAACCCTACCTAGGGAAGAGAGGAAGGTGGCACTGGCCCCTTCTAGGAGTTCACTGCTTCATGCAAACTTGAGGCCAAGATCAGCTGGTCTCAGTAGCAGCTGCCCCAGTGCCTGGCCACAGGTGGCCCAAGGCTGTCTGTGCTTTGCTCTACCTCAAAGGCCTGGCCCGTAGGTGGCCTTTTGGTTGGTTTACTCTTTTCTGTCACCCCTTGGTTTCCGTGAGAACATGTTTGCTTTTGTTTCAGCCTTTGGTTTCACTTGCAGTCAGCTGCCCTGGGCACCCCTCGGGCGCGCCCTCAAATGTGCCGAGTGTGGAGTCCTCTCTGCGGCTGATGTCACCTCCGACGCCACCAGTAACGCCATGTTAGTGCCACTTTGGCTGCAGCCTGCCGCGGGCTCTGCTCTCTTCTCAGTCACACTTGTTTGTTTTATGTTCTTTCAGTTCTCTCACTTCTCCTGCCACTTGGGTTCCCCAGGTTCCCCGCCCTCTCCCTGCCTCTGCCCCTCAGCTTCTCTCCCATATTCAAGGGCCTGTGCATGTACAACACAAGACACAGCAGGAGTCAGAGTGGGCCAGGCCAGGTGGCTGTGAGGATGGGTATGAGCTCTGTCCCCCTGGGGCCCAGTGCTGCTTCTTGTCCCTACCTTTGCTGCTGCACAGAGCAGCATGGGAATAGCAACTCTGACCTCCTTGGTGGGCAGCTTCTCCCTCCTCGGGCACAGGGTGGGGCTGTGTGAGTGTGCAAGCATGGGAGTGTGTGCCTGCGAGAGTGGGTGTATGTAGGTGAGGGTGCACGCAGACATGAATTGGGAATGCGCATATGCAGATTTGCGTGTGAATATGCATGTGTGAACACGGGAGGGATGTGTATGTGGAAGTGTAAGCATGTAAGTTTGTGCTTGTAGGTAAGACTGCAGATACACGTGGTGAATGTGTGTGAGAGTGACTGTGTGTATGTGCTCAGCTGCCAGGGAGCGTGTGTATGTGTGAATGTGTATGAACGTGTGTATGGCCTTGTGGCCGTGTATTTTCACATGTGTGTTGTGTGTCTCTGTGAATGCTCATATATGAGGTAACAAGAAGAAGCCCAGTTAAGAGGGCAGGTATGGCCAATTTGGGATTAGGGAACAGTGACCTGTCATCTTTTGGAGCTTTGCAGGTCAGGACTTTTGAGCTCAGGTGAGCACGGCTTGTCGGCTTATAGAGTCTCAACTTCCCAGCTCTAAGAGGGCATCTTGTCCATGCCTCCCTCAGGTCACTCTGATGCTAAGTCCTCAGATTCTAAGCCCAGGCCCTTTGTGCTTGCTCCAAAGCTGGGATTTTAGTGAAATCAAGCAACGGGTAAAGGGTGCTAGCTGTGGTACTAGGGGGCTTCATCTGGATACAGATTTTCTGGCAGGAGATGGGAAGGTAAGGCACAGGGCTCAGGTTACCCTGAGCTGGGCCCACACTGACCTGGAGGCCATGTGCCCTGCTAGGTCTTTGAGGCTAATGATCTTACTGTGTGGACCCTCTCCCTTAAGAGTCAGAGTGTGTGGAACTTTGCTCCAGTGGCCCTCAAGGCCAGGCAATAAATCAGAGGCAGTGATCCCCAGGCCTGGGGTGCCCAGTTGGAGAAGAAACCTCTCCCCTCTGCTTGGGTTCTTTTGAGGCCTGTACAGAAGTATATCCAAAACTACAGGGCCCCAGAATTCTCTATGGGGCCCCGAGCCATCTGCCAGCTGGATACGAGAAGCCAGCTCCCTGCAGGGAAATACAGAAGATGACTTGGGTCCAAGACACCTTCGTGGGTGGGCTAGGCTCTGTTCCCCTCACTTTGATGCAGATGATTTGGGAGGAGGAGAAAAGTTACAAGGCCCATGGTCATGGTAGGGATACTGAGCCAGGAAGGGTCCTGCTCAGAGTGACAATGAGTCACTTTGTGAAGGCCAGCTTGCCTCAACCCTTGCCACCTATGGGGACATGGACTGGGCTGCTACCCTTGCCACCTATGGGGACATGGACTGGGGTGTAAGGTAGAGAGTGGAGCTGGCCCAGGTTGTGGGGAGGCCCACCCTGCCATATCCTCAAAACAGAATTGGCGGTGCTCTAGCCCTCACAGTTGTCCAGCAAAAGCAGGGTCATATGGAGTCCATCTTAGGAACTATGCTGTCCCAGGTGGTGGGGGGCTTCAAGGCCACTCCTGGCTCTAGGTTGAGCCAGAGAGGAGGTAACTGGGGAGCTGGCCATAAGGCCCAGGAGACACTGGCACTGTCTGTAATGGTGATGATGGCAGTGCTGCTGAAGGAGGAGCAGGCCCAGGCCCCAACACAGGGCAGGCATAGAGAGAGGAGGGGATAAGTGTCAGGACCTTATAACTCAGAGGTCCAGAAATGAGGATGGAGCTATTCCCTCAGGGATTGGCGCAGGCAGTCCTCAGCACTGGGAACATAGCTGGATCCCCTTCTGTACTCCTGCTAAGGCCCGCTGGTTTGGGGATCCTTGTCTGGCTGCACTGGGTCATTCCAGCCTTTCTCCCCTCAGCCCTGCTGCCCCTGATCTCACAGCTCGGACCCTTTCCCTGCTCAGTTCTGCTGCCCATCTCCTGCTGTTCCTTCAAAACACAGCAGAGTGACCTCATGAGTAAGGAGCAGAGTGATCTATCCTGGTGCCAGCCTTGCCCCCGGTGATAACTGTGATCTGAGAGTGCTTCCTGGGTGTCCTGGTGGTGTTCCCCAGGCCACATGGTCTCGGGAGTCACACAGGGCCATGGTGGGGCCAAGGCCATTTTCCAGGGTGCCTGTGAGCACCTCTTTGAGGCCTGGGTGGCAAGTGGCCGGGAGATCAGGCCAGGGTGGGGGTGCTGTCTGGAGGAGGAAATGTCAGGCTCAGGAGGGTGGGGTTCACAGCCCGAGGAGAGGAGGAAGCGCCTGTCATGTCTCTGTCCTGTCTGTCTTGGTCTCTCCTCTGACCCTCTGGCCTTGTCTGTTGTGTGTCCCCTCAGTTTCTCTGTCCTTCCCGCTCACCAAGTTCCTCCCCCTTTCCTTGGCCACAGGCCACTTCAGTTCAGAACACGGGTTTCTGGCCCTCAAATCTGGAGCTGGAATCAGCTGTCTCCTAGCCCCACCACCTCCCAGCCAGATCCTTGTTCCATCTCCTTGCAACCTGCCTTCTCTCCGCTGTTGCCTCCTAGACAGTCAGGAACCTGGGTCTCTCCCAAAGAGCTCCACTTTGCTGGGCCCCTGAGAGCCCTCAGCCTGGAACTGCTGGGCAGATCTCTGCTCCAGCCCCAGGAGAGGCTGTGGGTCTCAAGAGGGAAGTGGGAGGGAGGAAAGCACCCATAGGGGGAGCAGCCACTCCGCTGGCCCAGCTGACGCCCTCCATCCCCAGGGCCTCCCTGTGGAGCTCCTGTGTGGTGCTGCCGCTCCTGGCGCTGACCTGGATGTCGGCCGTGCTCGCCGTCACCGACCGCCGCTCCGCCCTCTTCCAGATTCTCTTCGCTGTCTTCGACTCACTGGAGGGCTTCGTCATCGTGATGGTTCACTGCATCCTGCGCAGAGAGGTGGGTCCCCACAACTTGCCACCTTGCTGGCCCCCAGCCAGCCAGGGATAGGGGGTTACTGAGGCCAATGGTCTATGTCCTCTTGAGGCTACTGAATACCTGAGCCAGTGACAGGTGTTTCTGCCATTTTCTATATATTCTTACAAGGTATCAAAACCAGATCTTCACCAGACAGGTCCTGTCAGCCAGCTTGCAAGGACAGGAACAAGGGTGATTTGTCCAGATCTCAGTGCATTAAGATCCCTGCTTGGGCTTAAAGTCAGAACTGGGATATGCTAGAGGGGCAGGCTGGACCATGGTTTGCCTGCTCTCTGCAACCTTCTAGAATGAAGTTGGGGACTTTTTAACATAAGAGAGGACAAACCAGAGAGGTGGGGTCAGGAACAACAGAGAAGTTGGGCTGCAGGAGCAAGTTCTCGGGTAGTGGGGAGCCAGGTTGCTGCTGTCCTGGGCACACATCTGGGGGCCTATTGAGGCATCCTCTGAAGGAGTGACTCCTGTCTTATCCTGGGTAGCAGGCTGCCCTTCTCCCTGACCTGGGCCTCTGACCAGAGTAGGTGAGGCCCCTGGAGATAGGGACTGTTCTGAAAACAGGTGGGAACAGTGCAATGACCCTGGGGTTACTGTGCTGGAAGAAATGTCCTCCCCTGCAGTCCTGCTGTGACAATCCTTCCTGAATTTCCTGCCCTCAGAACTCTACCTACTTGTCTATGAGCAGCTCCCACTAAAAAGAGCTGTTCATGAGGAAACCACTAGCCAGCCTGTGGGATACAGTGAGTTGAAAAGAAAGAGAAGGAGTAACACAGGTCCCAAGTTGCGCCTTGCTGTCCAATAGAATGCGACCTACCCAGCTGACGGAGCACTGTGTGTTGGCCAGTTTATTCGATCTTCCCGGGTTTGCAGTGGCTCTATTCCAGTGCAGATGTAAAGCCTCTGTCCCCCTGGAGGTTCTTTCTTGCCTCTTGCCCAGGCTGCATGGCTTCTGCAGAACAAGGATAGTAACCTGCAGGAAAGGAGGAAAGGGACTGTCTTGGGACAGAAGAGCTTAGGAAAGTCACGTTCAGATCAGAGCAGCCGCAAAGCTGCACAGTTGGTGAGATGTCCACTTGTCTACGCAGCAGCAGAGTGGAGAGTCCCACTCGGTGAGGTGGCTCTCAAAGGTGGCTGGCTGAAGTGGTGGGTGGGGGCAGCAGGTAGGACCTATCAGAAAAGATCAAGATAGTGGGTGGCCAGTAGAGCCTAGCCTGTGGAAGCCTGGAGATCATCAAGAAATTGAGAATGTAGGCTGGGCCATCGGGCTCCCACAGGCTCCAGGATGGCCAGTGGGGCGACACCTCCTTGCTAGAGGTCCCTCAGCAATTCAAACCATGCCCTAGACCTCAGGGTGGGTGGTCAGTCAGCTCTCGGCTTCTATGTTCTCCCATTTGCTGGTGCTCTATGGTGTACTGTTCCTTATTAGGTTCCTTGTTAATCTTGCAGCCTACCATTCTTGTAGTCCTCCCACCCCCAGCTTGTTGCCATTGACACTGGCTGGTGAAATCCCCTTTGACAGCGCGTTGCTTTTAGTGAGATGGCCAGAGAAGGAGTAGTCAGAACACTGGGGCTTCTGGGACGCACTTCAGGCTGACAGCGCCTTCTCAATGGCCTGGTACTTAAGTCTCCTCATCTTTATACACCAAAAGGTATAGTGTGTGAGAGATGAGGAGAGAGACCTCCAGCCTGCCATGGACATGTCACTCTCTTCTCTCCCCTCATGAGACTGTCTTCACTGGGATGGGCTCCTTCCCAAGAAGCCTGTGGGGAACTGTGTGCGGGACGTCCCTGGCTGCCAGCTAACATCTCCCCTCTTCCCCAGGTCCAGGATGCCGTGAAGTGCCGTGTGGTTGACCGCCAGGAGGAAGGCAACGGGGACTCGGGGGGCTCCTTCCAGAACGGCCATGCCCAGCTAATGGTAGGACTGGGGGCCTCCAGGTCCTCCCTGTTCCTGGAGTTTTGCTGGGCCCAGCTGTCCCATTAGAGGAAGTCTGCGCCCAAGCTGCAGTTGGAAAAACTGAGGCTTATCAAGTTGAAATTCCCGGTTTAGGGTTTTGAACTGAAAAGGGCCAAGATGGCAAGTTTGGACTGGTATCCACCTCATACCCTGCTCCACACCAGGTGGTCCTCCTGCTGTCCTGTTTGCCCTGTCAAAGCTCCACACCCAAGGCCACACACAGGCCCACCACGAGACCTCCAACCCAGGCTCCTCTCAGCAGCCCCAGAGATATTCAGACTTTCCACACTCAACCTCTACACTGAGCCCTGGCAGCCTGGTACCCCAAGCCAGGGCCCAGAGTGTTCTTGATACACCCCAAAAACAGAGCTGCTGCTGAGCCCCCTCACAGTGTCTGTCTTGAGGCACCTGGGAATGCACAGGCAGAGTGGATCCTGGACTCCTCCTCAGCCCCACCTTCAGGACCCCAGCATCTCACTGAGCCTTGTCTGGAGCAGGGGCCAGCTGGCTTCCTGCCCTTCTGGCACCACCCACACCCACCACAGGTGTCCAGCACCAGGCCAGATGGGGCTCAGCCTCTCTGACCTCATTGTCTCCTCTTGAAGGGAGCAGGTATCAGTATTTAGTCACTTAAGACACCTCCTCCTACACCCACCCCCATCACCTAACACTTTTGTTTTCGCTTCTGACAGAGGGAAAACTCCTTCCTCCAGCCTCACTCTTGCATTTTCAGGGAAGAAACCTAGAGGTTTCAGCTTGAGGCTTGACTGCCCTTGGTGGGACCTGGGCTGGGGCCATCCACCCTGAGGACTGTCGTGGGGGACCAGGCCACTGCTCAAGAGTGGCTGTTCCAAGTAGGCACCACGGCCTATGTCCACATCCCACTCTGCCTGCCCCAGCCATGTCCAGTGTGATTTGGAGGTTGTGGCACACAGAGATGACAGAGACCAGGGTTGCTTGAGAGGGGCAGAGACTGGCTGCACCATCATGACTCGGTGGGAGAACACACACGTGTGCCTGCACACAGCACACATGCACGTGTACTCAGACACTCATAAATCCACATACTTTTAACACAAACACTCAGACATGTGCATAAACATATACATATATAAACATATATTCTCTATATACATATATAAACATATATTCTCTCAAATATAAATGTTCACATAGTAATAACTCTCCACACTCACAAAGGCACACACACTGATCAATGAACACACAAACACATATGATCACCACACATGTAAACACATACACATGCACTCTCATACACATGAAAGCACACAAACAGAGGATGCAAAGGCGTGGCCACCATATGGGGTTCTTAATAACAGCACAGGAGCACACAGGTACCTTCAGCATCTGCACCCCTTAACACACATGAACCAGCACAAACATGCACACACACAGGTGCACAGGCACGTGCCCTCAAAGTGTGGCTCTGGCTCTGGTGGCCCCTGCTCATCACTTGTAGGCAGCAGTCCCTCCATGGCAGGTGCTCACCATGCTCATCTCTGTCTTGCAGACAGACTTTGAGAAGGACGTGGACCTGGCCTGTAGATCAGGTGAGCGCCCCACAGGTGAGAGCGTCAGGTGGCCAGGCTGGCCCACCTGCTTCCTTTTTCCTCCAAATGTGTGTGTGTGTGTGCACATGCATGTGCCATCTGCCATCACACCCCCACTTGATCACCCCCAGGATGCAGGATGCTCTCAGGCACGCTTGGAGGAACCTCCAGGAGCTTGCCCTGAGCCCACACCTGGGCCATCCCACATATATCCGACTCAGCACTTCCCCTTTCCCATGGTTCCCTCCATGTTCCTCATGGGCAGAGGAGCTGGGAAAACACTGCATGAGACCCCACCATACAACCACCCCTCCCTTCTGCCTTTCCCTGGGCACCTCTGTGATGTTGCTTATTTTTTCATCATTGGTCTAAGCATGGGGAGAGGCAGGTTGAGCTTTCAAGTTGGGAGGATGTCAGTAGCAGCAGGAAGAAATCAAAAAAAAAGATGTGCTATTTAAGCCCCAGCCTAGTTCTGAGCTTCCTGAAAGCAAGTACAAAATGTGAATCAGCTGTCCTGTAGAGGAAGATCCTTAAATATCAATAGATATGGATCTTAGCCTTCTCCAGCGGTGTCTTGTGGACCAGATAACTGAGGCCATGGCAGACAGGGTCTGGCTGTGGAAGGGCCACCTGATTATGCTCTGTCCGGTTGGCTAGATATTTGAGAACACTTTTTCTAGAGGCAGTCGTGGCAGAGGAGTTGGGACAATTCTAGGTGAATAATGCCAGCTGACACCATATGGACAGAAAGGCTCAGCCACCACCCTTATCCTCAGTTTGCAGGGATCCAGTTCCACCATTTCACCAAAAGGTGACCTCAGAACTTGGCATTATGAGTTGGGCCCAGCCCTGCATGCTGTGCACTGGCCTCTCTGGGCACATTGGCTTCTCATCAATAAGTGCCTTCTGTGTTGTGTGTGGCTGGTAGGTGCACAGAGCATGGCCACACCAGGGACCGAGGCTTCTGTAGAATGGAGGATAGGGGAGCAGGTACCTCAGACAAGCTGGGTTTCCTTCTGCCTGCAGCTGGCCACAAGCAGAGAAATGGCACTGCCTCTGCCTATGAGGAGCCTGTAGGGCAGGCTTGTAGGATAGGCCTGTAGGATATGCCGGACTGGCTGGCCTCCAGCAGGTGTTTTGAAATGGCTTACTCACACACACCTGCTGGAGAGGTTGTGTTGGGTTGATGGGGAAGATGCTTGCTCCATTGTTGAGAGAGACCAGGATGAAAGATGGCACAGGATGTCATTGCCAAAGGATGGATAATAGACCCAGACGGATGGCTTGAGATACTCCCAGCAGCACTGGGGGAGATGTAACTTGGGTAGCCAGCAGACCAGGAAATCCCAAGAGCCCTGCTACTGGCAAAGGACAAAGGGAACAGTGGTGGGTGCTAGGGCTGGGTCTCGACCAGGTGTGGTTTGGGAGCCCACCCATGGACCAACACGGTGGGCACAGGATCAGGCCTGGCTCTGGAGACCCTTTAGAGGGGCATGGAAAGAAAAGTGGCCTGGGTAGCAGGGACATGAGCAGGCTCAGGTTCAGTGGCCAGTAGAGGACAGATTGATGGTCAAGAGTGGGGCCAGCTGGAGCTAGATAGACTTCAGGCAGCTTCCCCAACAAGTTGTTGAGGGGTACAGGGGGACTCACCACCTGGGACCAGGTGGCCTTTTGGGCAGAGGGCTGGAGTTAGTCATATGCTTGCAGCCCGCCAAGTGTGACAAAGTTGGAAGGGCCTGAGTACCACTGGAAGCCTGGGGTCAAGCCCACCACCAGGCCTCAAGGATGCCAGCACATCCTTTCCACACTTACTCAGAGCCCATGGGGCCAGGGCTGCAGGCAGTGAGAGCCAGTGGACTTCTCCCCTCACCCTAACACTGTGATGTTGGCTGTGTTTAGCAGGGCCCTCACCAGCCCTTCTCAGCTCCAGGAAAGATCTATATGGGTAGCAATCACATGTCCACAGTGGGGCAGACAGGAAGGTACCCTGTTTGCCCACCTTGTGCAGACAGATAGAAGAGCCCCACCTGCTGTGTGCTGTGCCTTGAGGGCAGGCCCCAGGTCGGGGTCAGGATAGCAGCCAGCTAGGCCTCCCCTTCTGGGAGCTGCCCTGTAACTTCCTGACCTTCTGCTTCCATTCTGTCTCCCCTTGGCCCTGTAGTGCTGAACAAGGACATTGCAGCCTGTCGCACGGCCACCATCACAGGCACACTCAAGCGGCCATCACTGCCTGAGGAGGAGAAACTAAAACTGGCGCATGCTAAAGGGCCACCATCTACCTTCAACAGCCTACCAGCCAACGTGTCCAAGCTGCGACTGCAGGGCTCACCACACTGCCCCGGGGGGCCCCTGCCTGCCTTCCCCAACCACTCACTTACCCTTAAGAAGGACAAGGCACCTAAAGCCTCTTTCATCGGTGATGGGGACATCTTCAAGAAGCTGGACTCAGAGCTGAGCCGTGCCCAGGAGAAGGCTCTGGACACAAGTTATGTGATCCTGCCGACAGCCACAGCCACATTGCGGCCCAAGCCCAAGGAGGAGCCCAAATATAGCATCAACATTGACCAGATGCCCCAGACCCGCCTTATCCACCTCAGCATGGCTCCCGACACCAGCTTCCCTTCCCGCAGCCCACCCACCAGAGAGCCCCCCGAGGCACCTCCCACCCAGCCCCCACCTCCCCCACCCCCACCACCCCCACCACCCCAGCAGCCCTTGCCCCCACTGCCCTCCCTGGAGCCGGCACCTCCCAGCCTAGGGGACACAGCGGAGCCAGCAGCCCATGCAGGACCCAGCACAGTGACTGGCCCCAAGACTGAGAACGTAGCCACCTTGTCTATGAGTTCCCTGGAGGTAAGGGCAGCCTGGGGACCCAAAGGTGGGAGCAGGTAGACACCCTAAGCCCAGCAATATGGGGGCAGTTGGGGCATGCTGCAGATCAGGGTGTCCCAGGTATGTGGCAACTAGGGTCAGTCCTGCTGTGAGGCACCCAATATCCCTCCTGAGAGAGACAAGTCTGGACAGGTAGGAGGTAGTACTTGTCTGCACCCTGGGAAGGGGTAGCTCTGGCCCAGCCCACAGGCTACTTGCTGTAGGCCTGGCAGCATCTGCCCTCAGCAGACACCTTGACAGGGAGCTTCATGAAGCTGGGGTAGAAAGTGCCTCTCATCACATGATTCCCACCCAGGCCCACAGGGGTGGTCTCAGTTCATTCAGGGGGTCCCAGATCCCCAATTTGGACACCCAGTGCAACATGTTTTGTTCTGGGGCTTGGGTCGGCCTGGAGCATAAGTGGACTCCACTCAATGTGGAGGAACCAAGACAAGGAACCAGGGTGTGTAGTGTCGACAGGGTGCCCCTTCCTCTTCCAAAGACACGCAGTACCCCTTGCTCTCAGATTGTGGGATGCAGTTCATGCAGCTCACATCTTGAGCTCACTAGTTGCCTAGCCACATGCCGGACCCAGGCCCCCCATCCAGCCCCCACCCCCACTACCCTTCCTGGAGCCACCCCCACTGCCCGCCCTGGAGCCAGTACTGAGCTCTGGCACAGTATACAGATGGAGCTGCCACAGTAGGTGGCCTCAGTCCTCTGGCAGCTGGGAGAGGAGAGTTCCCAAGCCTCTTGTCTGCCTCCGCAGAAGGTGCAACCCCTAGCCCCACCCTTAGCCTCCAGCTGGAGCACAGTGTCTACAGGAAAAGGGCAGCTTTAACCACACCAGGTGCCTGTGTGCAACCTAGACACATGCCCTTGCTCTGGCTTGGATGAGGGTACATGGCGAGGGCCCTGGGCTCCTTTCCCATTGGGAAAAAGGTGCTCTAGACTTGGGGCCTGGATAGCTTTCTGGAACTGGTGACAATGAGTACAAACCCCTTCTCCCCACAGAGGCGGAAGTCTCGGTATGCAGAACTGGACTTCGAGGTGGGTGCTGGTGTCCCCTTCCCGCTAGACACTCTATTCCCCCGTGACTGTACAGGGAAGGGGAGGGGGACTGTGCCCAACCCCTGGAGCCCTTTCCCTGGGAGCTGGCCCACACATGGGCAAGGGAGGCCGGTGCCTTCCTGGCTCAGGATGTGCTGCCCCATGCAGAAAATCATGCACACACGGAAGCGGCACCAGGACATGTTCCAGGACCTGAACCGCAAGCTGCAGCACGCAGCTGAGAAGGACAAGGAGGCGATGGCCCCCGACGGCAAGGTCTGGGACGGGGTGGGTGGGTCCCTCAGGGTGCCTCGCCTGGTCCCTACCCCCACACCACTCTTCATTATTTCACTGGCCTGTCGGGTATGCTGGGCCCTGGAGGAGCAGGGACAGGTGGAGATGATGGCCGTTATTCAGGCACCAGGCCTGATCTAATCTGGGGTCTGCAAATGCCCTGTTAGCATGAGGATTGCTTGCGAGGACCCCTCCCCAATTTGTCCCTCTTCTCTTCCTACCATACTCTTTGCTCCTCTCACCCCTATCATCCCTGGACCACTGATCTCAGCAGCCCGAGAAGCAGCAGACGCCCAGCAAGCGGCCATGGGAGAGTCTTCGCAAGGCCCATGGCACACCTGCCTGGGTGAAGAAAGAGCTGGAGCCACTGCCCCCGTCACCCCTGGAGTTACGGAGTGTAGAATGGGAGAAGGCGGGTGCCACCATTCCGCTGGTGGGCCAGGACATCATCGACCTCCAGACTGAGGTCTGAGCGGGCGGGCGGCCCTGTGGTGGGCCAGGAGGAGGGATGCTGCTCTGCCCGCTCCGGCCGCAGGACGGGCACAGACACGCTCGCGGTGGTGGTGGGCCAGGCCCACACCCCGGCCTCAGGGCGCTCGGATGCGGCCAGGCAGGCGGAGGGCCCACGGTGCTGGGACCAGAGCCAGACACAGGACAGGAGGTGGCACGGCTCAGCAGGCACAGGGATCCAGAGGCTGGAAGGTGCCTCAGACTCTCCCCTCCTCGGTTGAGCCCCGCAGGCGGGCAGGCGGGAAGGCAGCCAGCTATGGACAGCGGCAGGCCCGGTTCAGCCAGCATCCCCAGGATGCCCACCTGAGCTGCCGCTGCAGAGGACCAGCCCACGGCCCACCGGCCTGGCTCCGTTTTTTAGACTCCCCCACCCCTTGGGAAGCAGCCAGACCCCACACCCTTCCAGGGCCTTGGGCCCCTCCCCGACCAGGCGGAGAGCACAGCCCTGACCCATGGCCTGGGCAGGACTAAGCCCACTCCGGAAGAAGCAGGGTGGGGAATCTATTTTTTCTCTCCTTTTCTTTTCTTCAATAAAAAGAATTAAAAATCCACTCTTTTATGTGTGGCCTTCCTTTGTAGTGTGGCTTTCCTTTGCAGTGTGGCTGAATGAGCTTGACTGAATGGCCTTGAGGGCTCTACTGGACCCTGCAGCTCCTACCCTGCCTGAGGTCTGGACATCTGGGACATCCCAGCAGCCCTGCACCCATGTGCCATATAATGCTTTGGGAACCCCAATGCTGGCACCCCTTACCTATTACACTCTTCTCATAGGTGGGATCCATGTAGTTCTTAGGTCTCAGCCAGGCACACTTGACTTCTCTTGTTCCCTGACTCTTCCCAAGGACAGAGCTAGCAAACAGATTGAAAAACACCTGAAACTGTACAAAGGGGAGAAGATGAGGTGAGGATCGTTAGACTTCAGGATGGCCACTTCCTCCTTGCAGCTTTCCAAGATCCAAGCTCCTAGAGAGAACCTGCCCCGTGTTGTCCTGGGCAACACTGCCATGACGCCCAGTCTTTTTGCCTATAACATGAGTGTCACATCCCCAGGACCCAGTTATCCTATTTGTCCATAGGGTGGGTTTGGAAGGCAAGTGGAAATGTGCCTGGAGCCACTCCCAGGCACACAGAGAGCCCCTATCCTCTGCGTACCCCAGCTTTGCGGAGCTTTTCCCCAGTTCTCTCTGAGTTTCCAGCAGGGGGCAGCCTGAGACCTTCAAGCAGCCTACCAGCCTGGGAGGCCAGGTGGCTGAGGGCGACACCAGGCAGGCCCCTACTCCAAACTGTTCCCTATTCTGAGAGCTGGTACCGCACAGAACTCAGACTGCAATGTGCAGTGGGGACACTGCCCCTTTTGAAGACCCAACTGACTCTGGACCTTGGAGACAGAGCCAGTGGCCAGCACCCTGAGGAGAGTGTGCAGGGTGGGCCATTTAGAATCCCCAGCACCCAGTCATGTCATCCACAGCAAAAACTGGTGAGAAATCAGAAGAGGGTGTAGCCTGGCATACAGTCTGCTGGATGACCTTACGTGTGTCCTGTCCCTTCCCGTTTGGCTCTGTTTCTTCAGATCTCATTGTGGATGAACAAGCGTGAGCTCCAAGAGGCTTTGCCAGCAGGTGGGAATGGTGAGAAAGTGCTTGCTGTGTGTGACAACCTAATGAGCACAGATATCACAGGTGGTTATGAGAGCCCTGCTGACAATGTTGGGTGGACAGTGAGTAGAAAGAGGATAGTGTGTGACCACTATCCCAGAGGAGATCACACAGAACCCACTGGGTGCTAAGGAATTGGAGTTTTGTGATCTGCATGATTCCTGAAGGGCTGACTTGAATGCTCCAAAACACCAGAATGTGAGATTCGGCAACCAAACCTGGCCCAGACTATGGCACCCTATGGTTCATGTGCACATTGGTGCACATGTGTATTTGTTCTGCCATGCAGGGGCACATGCGTGCCCCATCATAGCTCCCCTAGCAGGGCAGGTGGCAACTGCACATACTTTACACACCTTCATGGGCCCGCAGGAGCCCTGTGCTCCAGGTCCATTCACCTGAGGGCTTCCAGTGAGTACCAAGGACTGCAGGAAGCAGAGAGGGCCTGCGAACAGCAGAGAAAGCCCCAAGGCCCCGACACCTTCCTGGCGAAGGTCCAGAGGGCACTGGGCCAGGGACTGAGGCGTTGGGGGCTGGAGGTGGGGCTGTGCTCCGATGACCATTGTGCAGTAGCCAAGGTGATCTTGGCCAATTCCCCAACTTCCCTGTCCCTACTCACCCCCAGAAAACCCTGCACAAAACAAAAAATAGAAGTGCCCAAGCCTCACTACTTGCATGAAAGGGGAGCCTCCCAGGTGGGGGTTCATTGTGTGGTCAAAGCCTGTTTCCTTTTCTTTCCCCAAGGTCCTGGGTCAGAGGCCGTATCCATATGCCACCTTGGCCAGGGGCTCCCAGCAGTTCAGACCTCCATGGGCTCTTCTCATAGGGGCCCATCATAGAAACCGCTGTCTGTACCCTATGCTGGAGCAGGAATCCAGGGAAGCCCTGGATTCCTCATCAAAACCCTCAGACTACTGGGTGGGCCCACCTCCTGTGCTGAGCTATATACAGGACAGAACTCTGGGTCACAATCCCAGATGCTTAGAGCTGGGACTGGGGCCTCTCCTGGAATTCTACAAGTCCGACTGTCCTTCATCCAGGTGTTAGGTGCTGTGCTTCTAATGGTGAAAGAGTCATGACCTTGTCTCCAGCGAAGATACCAAGACTAGTGGCCAAGTGATGCTGCCAGGGCCCCACAAATAGTGTCCTGCACCTGGAATCCAGCTCCACTGGCTCATGTTCTGGACACCGCCTACTGGGTGATTTACTCAAGGCAGCAGTGAGGCCTCCTGGTTATTCCCCTAACCTGGGAACCACTCTTCTCCTGTATCATAGCCTACAGCTAGCCAGTCTCCAGAAAGACTCTCTCAGTTATCTTAGTTTTCTTGTGCCAATGCTGTGTTCCTCAACAGCCAGTTTCAGGGAAGCTAGGCCCACCTTCCCTGCCCTCTTCACCTGCCATCTTTAGCATCAGCCTAAGGGAGAAGGTAGCAGTGTTATGGGGCCACAGGTGATGGTAATGGTTTTGTGGATAAAGCTGAAGCTGGAAATTTGGGTGATGATGGTGGTGATGAAGGCGATGGTGGCGAAGGTGATGGTGTTGGTGCTGACCGTGGTCACAGTCATGGGTGTGGTCATAGTACTGGTGGACAGAGACTTAGATGCTGCAAGCAAAGACATGACCACAATCTCTATTGCTGGTAATGGTGCTTATGGGATTGGAAATGAGGATCTTGTAGTCACTTGTTCCCTGCTTCTGTGGACCAGGGGACTTGTGGGTGAGGAGTTGGAAGGAAAGGCACCTAAGGACAATGATGAAAGCCTCTAAGTCGGCTGGGACAAGGAGCCAATGGGAGCTACAGCAGCTGGGTACTTTACTTCTTCACCAGCACACACAGCTGCTGAGATCTGGAGATCTTTCTCATCTAGTGCCACCTGCCCCTCACCCTCTGTCTAAACAACACCTGATCATCATCACCTTTCCTGGTAAAAATAAAACAGTTCTGAAAGTGGGAGTGGGAGCTAAGGAGTAGTTCAGAGTAGCCTTCCTTCTAAACAGGCTAGTGCCCTTCCAGTAAGGTCTTTCACAACCACCTCTTTCACTGGCTTCCTGGTCTGAGTGTTTGAAGAAAGTCTTTCCTTACATCTAATTTACCCATCTCCTCCTGTGTGTTAGGGCTCCTGTTGCCCCAAGAAAATTCAACATTTAGTTCCTCCTGACTGGTACTACTGTCTGGGCCTCTCATGAGCGTGAGCATTTTGGAGCCCGCACTCTTGCTGGGATTCCCCTGGTCTCATCTCAGGTGAAATCTGGACCTCAAGACACTGCTTCCTTTGGGACTTGTCTCCAGATAGAAGCAAATTCACAGTGTGCTACCTACTTAGGAACTTGTTCCCAAGCTTTCCACTGACCTGAGTGCCCTGACCAGCTCACATAATCCTTAGCTCTGGTGACCAGCCTACAAGTCTGGAATGTGCTGGCTGGCTCTAGGCTTGAAGCTGTCAGCTTCCTGTGCTTCCTGAGTGTCCATGAGGTGACAACAACAGGCAGCTCACCCAAGACACCCCCAGAGAAAGTCCCATTGCTAAGAGTCTGCATGCTCACCTGATAGGTGACCAGGGTCAGGATGGCCAAGCAGCAATCTTCTAATGGGTGTACAGTCTGACAACCCTGGCTGCCCTGCCTCAGATCCCTTCCAGGTCTTGGCTCCAGGGTATTTTTCTTCCTGGGGAGGGTCTGACAAACAGCCAGGGTTGGGGATCCCTGGACTTCAGTAACAGAGTACCCTGCCCCCTGTGGTATCCTGTACCCTCCCCTCTGGAGGCACCCACAGAGAGCCCAGTGGAGGTGAGACCCTAGCAAGGGTGCATGTTCTGGAAAGTCTTCTTTTCACTGGTCTTCCCAGCTGGCCATGGTCAGAACACCTGGCCTCCCCTTTGCCTAGCCTCAGACCTCCTCCTCTGATCCTGGTTTCCCACCAGAGCTTGCTGGAACCCTTCTGGGATCCCAGGCCTATGACTTGGCACCTCTCAAAGCATCAGGAAACTGCCGGCTCCCCTTTGTCAGGCCCTAAAAATAACCAGGATGGAGGAACATCCCTGAATAGCTCGTGATGTGCCAGTCTCACTCCCGCCCCACGCTCAGCGGAAACTCCAAATAAGGCCTTGGTGGAGCTGGAAAACAGCACCCAAGCTGTCACCACTCACGTCAGCATGGGGTCCAGAACTTCCCCTCCCAAAAAAGCCTGCATGGGTCAGAGGCCTGGGCAGAGCCCACTGGGTCTTGGGAGCTCCTTACACTGGGGTACTGGCCTTTGTAATGATAGAATCTTAAAATCTCCAAGTTTAGAAACTTGAATTTAAATGTAAGGAATCTTAAACAATCAGTCACACCCCTTCTTCCAAACCTCAGAGGGTAGTGGCTCCACTTGGATGTCCACGGTACCCCGAGAATGTCAAGGTGGGTTTTCTGTCCTGCACCCTACTCCAGGACACTCAGGAGAAGGGGGTACCCCATAATAGAGAAGGGAATCAGCCACAGGACAGAGTGGACACAGCTGCCCCTGAAAGGCAGAGGAGGTGTTGCTGCGCTCAATATGACTTCCTGAAAATACCATCTGGTCCCAACCAGGGAGGGTGGAGGCAGTGCCCCACTAGCAGCCTGATGTGTTCTCTGCTGGATTTCCCAGCTTGGGGGTGAGGGAATAAGCCAGGGAGCAGGTGACCTTAATACCCCGTCTCTCAGGAGTTGGTAGTGGGCTCAAGGATTGGGTGGCCCTTCTCACCAACCTATGCCTCTCCTCTCCTCTCCTCTCCTGTGTCCTTCTTGATGTCTCCCATACCCTATGGAGGGTCAAGAACCCCAACTTTTAGAGGCCTGGACCCCAGTCTTTCTAAAGAGCTATCACTTAATCTCTCCAGTGGGTACCATGTATATGATGAGCCCAGGGATGAGG